CTTTTATTAATAAAAGGGAATTATTTGTAGTTCAGGGTTGACATGAAGGGTCCCTGGTGCCCTCTGAGCTCGGTGGTTTTCTTGCAGGCGTTTTGTTACCCAACTAGGTAATGTCATCAGTGTTAGGAGGAGGAGGAGGAGAATTGTGGGGTCCTTGGTGCTCTCTGAGCTTGGTGATTTTCTTGCAGATGTTTCGTAACCCAGTTAGGTAAGGTCATCAATGCTAGAAGGGGGTGGAGTTAATGGAGAGGAGGAAGAAGAGCAGGAGGAGGATTGTGGGGTCCTTGGAGCTTGGTGGTTTTCTTGCAGGCGTTTTGTTACCCAACTAGGTAATGTCATCAGTGTTAGGAGGAGGAGGAGGAGAATTGTGGGGTCCTTGGTGCTCTCTGAGCTTGGTGATTTTCTTGCAGATGTTTCGTAACCCAGTTAGGTAAGGTCATCAATGCTAGAAGGGGGTGGAGTTAATGGAGAGGAGGAAGAAGAGCAGGAGGAGGATTGTGGGGTCCTTGGAGCTTGGTGGTTTTCTTGCAGACATTTCATGACCCAACTAGGTAGCATCATCCGTGCTATAAGGGTGTGTGAGGTTTGCCGCAAATGCCCCTTCTAGCATGGATGATGTTACCTAGTTTGGGTCACGAAACGCCTGCAAGAAAACCACCAAGCGCAGAGATCACCAGGGACCGTTCATATATTTTACCCTATCACGTTCCAGAATTTGGGCTTTATTTCTCTCAGATTAACCGGGCGTGCCCTGAGCATTTCCTCCTGGGACTCTTTGAGAGGAGGCACTACTTTTAGCTTGCATATTTTAATGAAAGTACAGAGCATTCCATTCCTTGGTCCTTCTCTGTAATATCCGAGGCATTTTTGGCAGCGACGCGGGAACAATATGGGCCTGTGTTGTTTCATCCAGGTGATTTATCTTTAATGTAGCCTTCGCATTGTTGCTTTTTAATCGTTTATAATTTGGAAGGGCAGAGTTTAAAAGAGTGGAGACTAAAATTCTAGTCCTCAAGATTTGTCGACGCCAACAAAACACTCGTCTTTGCCGTTTCAGGATGTGCGAAGGGGAGAAAAGGAAGCTAGTCATCCCTTCGGAGCTGGGTAAGGAACTGAGAGCGAAACCAGTAGCGGAATAACCCTGGGTGGGCACCATGCTCCACTATGCCCTGGCATTGCTTCGTTGCCCCTTCGCCTTATTTAACTTTTCCGGAGCTTGAGAATAAGTATTTCCTTGCATCATTGGATACCCGGTTGATTTGGTTTCTGTCGTCTTATCTCGCAGGTTATGGAGATCGGGGAGCACCGCCCAAAATCCCAGGTATTCTATTTCTTTGTTTTATTCATTTATTTGCATCTCGTCTTCGTTATTTTTTTTACAAATCAGGCAGTGAACATATCCAACACACCTTCACACACACACACCCCATAACAACCACCCAGTAAGGTGGGTCGGGCAGAGAGAGAGAGAGACAGGAGGGCTGTCCCAAAGTCACCTAGCTGGCTTTTATGCCCCAAGTGGGTCTAGAACTCACTGCCACCTGGTTTCTAGACTGGCATCTTAACCACTAATCACTGAGCTGGCTTTCATCGCTAGGGTGGGACTAGAACTCACTGTCTCCTGGTGATTGGCCCAAAGTCATCCAGCTGGCTTTCATGTCTAAGGCGGGGCTAGAACTCACCGTCTTCTGGTGATTGGCCCAAAGTCATCCAACTGGCTTTCATGTCTTAAGGCGGGACTAGAACTCACCGTCTCCTGGTGATTGGCCCAAAGTCATCCAACTGGCTTTCATGTCTTAAGGCGGGACTAGAACT